GTAGTTTACTTTTTCAATTTTTTTCTTTCTTTCTCTATGCTACAATGGAGATTATGTTATTACCAGGTTTGTTACTGTTTTTTATTATTGTTGATTTTAGGGATAGGGGGAAGAAATTTGGCCTTGAAATAAAATATATCTAAGTCAGTTACTTGAGATTTCCTCTTGAATTTATATCAAGAATTTTGGAGATTTATTATAGTTTTCAGTAACTTCAGTATAAAATCCTTACAAATTCCAAAGCTTAACTACATTGATCTGTATTTATATTGTTGCCTTAATCTCCGTTCATACTCATATGTACAGCAAGTGCCAAGCTGACCAATGTAAGCAGATTCCAAGTATAACACAAAAATCAATACAGACAACCTCCAACTTATACATAAATTATATTCCACATATATGCATTGTAAGTTGATAACTTGGAACACAGAACACATATTCCCATAAAAATATAGTTATTATATTACCACAGCCAGTTTCTATATTGAGTAAATCAGAAGCAATTAAAAATCACCTTAGGCAGCTTCTCATTGGCCTGCTTTTCATGTAGAGATATAGCAGCTAAGGGTAATAGTATTTGGAAAATTTAATGGGAAAGGATTATCAAACAAGAGCATCTCCACTCATTGAAACAGCAAGAAATAGTGGAAAGAAAGGGGGTAATTTGTCTTTCAGTAAGAGAGTCAACAAAGCAAGGTCATTCCAGGGGTATTTAAGGATGAACCTAAAAGGAGGATGACAAACAAAGATGATGAATACCTGTTAAGATTTTATTAATAAACATTTTTTACCATTAAGGATAGTGGACTCATCGCATTTATACCCTAATATCTCAGTTCCTATCCTACTGTACTAAGCAAGGAAGTAAAAATGGGCTGAAGTAAATGTAGATAGGAAGAGGAACTCTTCTAGATCGAGTATATACCAAGGAGGTCTGTGCTGGAGGCAACATGATCTTTAGAACATGGAAAGATTGATTCTCAAGGTATCAGTGGAAAAGGAAGATACTAAATGTATGTGGTGAAAAAAATCCTGTACATTATTACTACTAACATGCAATCAAGATGACAATAATAATTTCAACTCACAATCCCATATTCCCTTCTAATCTACACATGCATCAAAGTCAGCTTTGATATGTAAATTAGAAGGCAATGAATAAGTTCTTTTTTTCAAATTACATTTTATAGTAACAGATCTTCACCGTCATCTTTCACAATCATCTTTTAGGTGCTTAAAAATTATTAATCCTGTTCTTATTGTTTATTGACTATTTTTTTAAAAAGCATCTGATTTGACAAAACCAGCACCTTTAATGCTTGAAAGTTGTTTCTTCACCTTAAAAGACAAAACTGTGAAGATAACCTCATTCGGGGACCTTCTGATTGTTACTATCAAAGACAGCATAAAATATGGAGATATATACTCATTTGCCTCTTATTGGAGGAGATCAAGCAGAGAGTTTAGAGCAAAGAGATTTTCTTAGAATAATGAAATCCTCCAGATATTCCTGTTTTGGAATTGCACTGATTACAGCAAGTCATAAAACATTGTCCTTCCTTATAAGTGAGATTAATCATCATTCAAAAGAGTTGGTCCTATCTATCCACACAAGAAGAATAAGGTGAATGAGAAATGCTTATCATCCAAATTATAATACACAATTGAATGGACACCTTATATGTATAGTGTTTAAGATATATATCTTAAACAAACACTACAAATGGGCAATGGATTAAGGCTCAGAATTGAATAGGAGACAAGAGGGCTGGATTGGTTTTGGGAAATTGCAAAGATTATTTTAAATGACTCCTAAGCTTCTCCCTAAAACAAAGCACCCTCTTTTTGAACACCAACATTCTTTTGATGATGTTGCATGGCTCTGGGTTATGGACAGAGTAGTGTAGGAAGATTTGAAATTCAGGATACATCTAAAAGATAATCAAATAGCACATGATGAATGAATGAAAAAAATTTATTAAGCACTCATAATGCACCAGGCATGTAATCAGTGCTAAGGATACAAATATAAGCAAGACAGCCCTTGTCTTCAAGGTCCCTTTCATTTTAATGGGAAAATATAGCAGATAAAGGGGAACTATAAAGGGGGTTGGTTAATATACAAGTGGAAGTATGGTGTGGAATAGTCTGAGAAGTGATATGAAGGTCTGGTTCTGGGTAAGGTACGGTAAAATCTCGCCTATGAGAGCCCAGGGGCAGAGTACAAATAGTTCCATTGTGAGGCAGATGAGAAGCATGGCTATAGAGCAGGTAGTGTGGTTTGAAAATGGCTGGGATGAGGAGGCCTGATTCTCAGCAAGATAGAGCGAAGGCTCCATGATGAGTATAAACAGACTAAAACACATTACAAATGAGATTGTAAAAGCTGTAAATATAGTAAGCAATATCTTCAATGAAGTAAATGTACTGTTAAAAAAGGAAATAAGTTTCTTACATTGTGAAAGAAAGGCATAATTTATGGTTGACCTGTGTGTTCCACTGGTAAACTTCTACTTTTGAGAGATTGTGAGCTCCTTGAGAGCAGGACTTTTTTTTTTCTTTTTTTGTATCCCCAGTGCATAGCACAGTTCATGACACATAGTAGTCATTTAATAAATGTTTAGATAAAATGCAAGGAAAATACCCAGCATGTCAGGTAGAGCTCTGTGGTTAACTTTTTAGAAGTATGTTGACATGTGTTGCCCAGTATTGACAGAGACATAAATGGATGTCAGTCTTCATTCTTTGAAGAAATACCCACTGATGTAACCACAGATCCATTGGAGGATTAGACACTTGATGATGGAATGAGCCTTAAAGGTCATCTAAACCAACACCTTCATGGCAGAGTTAAGATTCAAATTCTGACCTTTAATCCCAAATCCACTATTCTTGTTCTCTTGTTTCTTTCTCCCTCTCTATCTCTCTCCCTTTCCCTCCCCATCTCCCTCTCCTCCTCCCTTCCTCTCTCCCCTCTCCTTCCACCTGCTTTCTAGAATAGTTTTCGTAGTTTTTAGATGTATCAAACATAACTCCTTTAACCTTTAGGCCATAATATACTATAAGAATAATATTCATGGTAATATTTCACCTATATTTATCTACCGTCATTCTGTAGCATCATTTCAGTGAGAAAATGCATTCCATGTTCTAGCTTGTGATTTAACAAAACAAAAATATTCTACTCACGTCTATGGTCAGCATTCCCTCCATAAAAGATGGAAGGTAGGTTGGGCCATGGTCAAGCAGATAGTCCAAGTCTTGATCGGTTGGGGAGCACTGCATCAGTACAATTAAAGGTACCTCTCAGCAACTACATTTGCTCAGAGTCAAAGAAGAAAGTATAATGGCCTCCATGGTGCTAGTTGCTCCAGATGTTCCTAGGTAGAAGTCATTTTTTTAGTCAAGTACTAACTGAGCAGTAAAAATCTTGGCTTGATTCTTGTCATTCTCAGTTGTTACTAAAAGAGCCTATGATCACTTGTACATACACACACATATACATATACACACATTATGTATGTATATATATATATATATATATATATATATATATATATATATATATATATATTTTCAAAATTGATAATCCACTTTGGAAAATGATTGGCTTTTGAAGAGTTTTATGGTTTTTTTTGATTTCTGTAGTGAACTTGAAAAAGATAAGAATAGTAGTAATTTATGTAGGAAATGTTTTGCAAGTATTTGAGGATTCTAATAGTTTGTCTTTATCATAGAATCTGAATTTTTTTAATATTGACAATGAAATAGTCCAGCAGACTGAACTTTATGGAAGTAATGCTATGTCCTAGCTACTTAATAGCTCTTACTTAAAAATTTCCATCCTAATAATATTTCACAGATTGAATCCTGAATCTTATTTTGTGCATATATATCTAAACTGAACCAGATCTCCATTAAAGAGACGCTAGCTTCTAGTTCTGAGTTATTCTAACCTCTGATAGGGATATAATCTTTGTTTTCTCTTCTGAATGTGGAAATGACAGAAGCCTATGTGATGTGTTCTTGAGTATGTATGTCAGAAAGTCTGCCAGTTCTAATTTTACTGGACCAGTCCTACTTGAATTGACAGCTGAATGACATCGAATGGTGACAGCTGATGCCACTCCCTGGAATGACTGCCTGCTAATCTAGTTTGGCTTTTTTCCCTGCAGTGAGTTTTTTAGCTATTAAATGCAGCTTATATTTCCTAACCTAACCTCTACTTTGCTTTTAGTGCACTAAAAGCCCCTTTTAGAGGATTACTTGTTAATAAACAAGATTGCCAGCAACATGGTAGATTTATTTAAAATACATAAAAATGGCTTCTTCTTTATGTTAATCAAACAATGCCTTTTCCTACCTTGGCATGTTTTGAAATGTCCAGATTCATAAAATGCTAAGCACATTTGTGAAGTTATTGGAGAAAAAAAGCAACTACAGTAGTTTTATTTATTTTTTTTTGGCTGAATGATTTTAACAAAATGAATCTACATGAAACCTGGTACCTTGTTTAGTCTAAATGTTTTTGTATAACCATGGTTTTATATTTGGAACTCCTTGTTTATTTCTCAGTATAGAGTGATTATTTACTCCACTGAAACTATTTCCAAGGCATTTTTCCCCAGATAAGTCAAAAGAGTTAAATGAGTAAGAGTTTGGGAATAAATAGAATAGTTAAGGCAGTGCCGACCCCCAAGCAAGAATTTTTCTCCCTCTACCACAATCCTACCTCAGTCCTCTCCTTGAAGGAATGGATATAAGTCATTTTACTAGTGTGAATTATCTGAGTGGAAAATAACTGACTATTCCATGATACAAGGTTTCAGGTTGAATAATGAATGGATAAAACAGTAAAAAGATATTGAGAACAATGAAGCCACTGCCTGAGTTTGTCCTTTTCTGGACTAAAAGGACTACTAACTGATTTTTTTCCCCTGTGATAATTATCATGTCTGTTCTTCCACGTAATACTGTCTTATGCATCTCTATGTTAGACAAAGATGAATGCTCTAAGGATAATGGTGGATGTCAACATGAATGTATCAACACTGTGGGAAGCTATGTGTGTCAGTGCCGAAATGGATTTGTGCTTCATGAGAACAAACATGATTGCAAGGAAGGTAAGTGGAGGCTCTTTTCAGTTAGTAGATGACACTAGCATTATAAAGAATTTGAATATAGCATTGTGTCAGGAATGTAACATTGGTGAACTTCGGTACATAATCAAACGAGTCTTTCACCCTCCTACCTTCTCCTGCCACATAACTTGGGAGCTTCAAAATCCAAACCAATAACCCTGTCTTCTCCACTCTGTAAACTCTTCAACTGCTTTGACCTCTGTCTTCATGATATTTTAAGTCCCTGCCAAGATGTTAACACTTTAGACCTCACCGTTACTCAAAATGTTCAACTCTAAAATTCTCTTCTCTGGCAACAATGTCTTGTCCTAAATTTTTGTCTCTTATTCTCCTCATATATGTTATTTGTACATGACTTCATTCCATTGTGTCCTCTCAGCTCTTTCCGTCTATCCACTGAGTTCTGCCCTCACTTCCTTATTTTCCTAGTCTTGATTTTAGGATTAGCCATTTCAATAATGCATATTCGTGCCATTGATTCCTTTGATCCTTCATATTTCTTCCATTCCCAGCTTGGTTCTTAACCTCTGAGTAGTCTTACCATCTTGCTGCTATGAAACTGCTCACAGGATCATAGATTTAGAGCTAGAAAGAATCTTAGAGTTCATCTAGTCCAAAATCTTCATTTTATGTAGATAAAAGAACTAAGGTACAGACAAGAGAAATTATTTACCCAAAGTCATTTACTGCATAAGTGGCAGAAGTTGGATTTGAACACAAGTTCTTTGATCCCAAATCCATTTGTCCCTACTTTAGCAGAAACATTACTTCTTCCTGAGTGCCTTAATTGGCTTCCATGGTTGTTTTTGCTGTTGTCCAGCTATTTAGGGAAACAGTTCTCTAGCTGGAGAAAATTCTAGGAAACCTATAGAGTGGGACTAAATCACACACCTTCAGGTGTAAAAACACATGTGATCATAGAATGTAAGCACAGCAGACTGAGAGAATGCTGTATTAAAAAGAAAACCTTATTGTATACTTCATAATTACTGGAGTTAACCCTGGATCTTGTCTCTTGTTATTAAAACTGTTGTGATCCTGGTTTTGACCTTGATTCTGTTTTAGAAATTGGTTAACAACTCTGCCAAATTGCTTCTAGACCAGGTTCCATATTCTTACATATCAATTATGGCTTTTTTTTTTTAATAATGACTCTTTCTGCTACCTAACCAGGACCTTTCCAGCTGACTCTTTCTATTTCTCAAACTAAAAAGACAAAAGTTCAGTACAATGGAAGTCCTACAACTACAGCCAGTACTGTGTCTGACCCCAGCCCCAACTTTCTTGTTTTCCTCATCTGTCCTCTCCCTCTTCCCTCCAGTTTCAAAAAAGGAGCCGGCTTTCCTCCTGGCCAAGGCCAACCTTCCACCAGTAACCTTAATCCCATTTCCTCCCACCTCCCTCTTGACCTTCTTCAGTCAGTCATTCCTTATACATCTTCGCCCTTTTTTTTTATGACTCTTCCTCAGTCTACAGTAAGCTCAGCTCTCCTCTATCCCTTTGCCTCCTCCCAATTCCCTTGATCCCACTGGCCTCCCCACCTTTTTTTTTTTAATTCTCTTCCCTTTCACTGCGAAACTTGTAACAAGTATACTGGTTGATATTTGCTGACTTCTTTAATGCTAACTTATTCTTCAACATTCTTCAACCCATTACTCACCAGCGGCTGACTTTCATCTCTACCACCCTCCCTCCAACTTCACTGACTTCCTTATTGGATCTCAAGTCTTAATCTTTGCTCCATTCTCATTCTACTTAACCTTTTGTAGCATTTGATATCTTGATCATATCCCCCTTTTTAATTAATTTTCCTTCTTTTGCTTCCATTATACTATAGATTAATTTTTCTCCTTCTACCTCTGAAATTATCTTTTTTCTATAACCTTTTATGGCTTCATCTCCTCTTCCTACCCCACTTAAACATAGGCAGGATCCAAGATTCTTTCTTCTCCTCATTTACTTGGGTGGATTCAATCATCACATCTGTGCACATGACACACATTCTCTCTCTCTCTCTCTCTCTCTCTCTCTCTCTCTCTCTCTCTCTCTCTCTCTCTCTCTCTCTCTTCTCTCTCTCTCTCTCTGTGTGTGTGTGTGTCTCTGTGTGTGTGTGTGTGTGTGTGTCTCTCTCTCTCTCTTTCCCTCACACACACACACGCACACACACACACACACACACACACACACGTATACACTGTCTCTCACTCTCTCTCCAGTCCCATAATTATGACTCCTATTTGGAAATCTCCCCCTGGACATCCCATTGACCCTTGAACTCAGCATGTGTACAACAGAACTCATCTTCCTCACAAGTTATGCTTCTTATCTTAGTTTTCTTTTTTCTTGTTATGGAACCACCATTCTTCCACACACCCATGTTTGTCACCTTGTAATATCTTTGACATGTCCTCCCTCCATCATGTCCTTTGAATAATGAGATCCTGTCATGTATATATTTTTTTTATTATGAAAACAGGAGATGTGATAGTAAACAAAGAATGTTTGTATCTCTAACATAGTTTTTAATGAAGCAGTTGAGGCAAAAATCATCTGGCCTAGTTCACCTTTGTATCCTTCAGAATTCCTCCTCAGTTTTTGATTTCATCTGCTTTTTAATGCAGCCTTATGAAGATTTCAGCCATGATTTCAATACTCACTAGGTTGCTATTTAGCTCTCAGAAATTTTTTAAATGGTATTCACATTTGGGTATCAGTGATCCATTTATGAGAATACCTGACTGTTTGCTGCCAGCCTCTTTTTCTACACCCTGGTTCTGTCACACTTGGGAACATATATCCAACACACAAAATTGGGATAGTTTCTGTGTACACGTATTAAGAAGTAGAAGACATTTTCTATCTTCCATTGTGCTTGCAAAGGCTCATCTCCATGAATTTGACAAAAACATATCCTATGACATGGATTAAAGAATTAATCTCCTTAATTCACAAAAAAGAAAAATGAGTCATAGGTGAATGGATTTGTGCGAAGTTATGAATAATGGCATGACCAGGACCAAAACCAGGTCTTCTAATTCCCTATCTTGCACAAGTATTTCATATTCATTGAATCATATGAAGGATGTTCCAAGGTCATACATTCTGATTGTTACTCAAAGAATGAATTTCATCCAAGTAGCCATTCCAGCTTTTACTTGAAGCCCTCCACATATGAAGCAATTCTCTAGATCATAAGAAAGCCTTACAGTTTTTGGACTACTCTCATAGTTAAGAAATATTTTCTTATAGTAGTCAAAAATATGCTGACTTTACCTCTTGGGCCCAGTATTTTTCTGCTGGAGCAAAGTAAACTGGTTCTTTAATCCTTCTTCCATAAGAGTTCTTTGAGATATTTGAAGATAATTATTCTCCCTATCCACTTCTCACCAGAAGGCAGCAAGATACAGAGAGCTCTGAGAATTGATCTGAGAGTCAGTAAAACCTGAGTTCAGGTTCCACTTTTGAAACATATGCTGCTTGTATAACCCTGGGAAATCAATTGCTCTTTTATATTTATTCATTTATTTATTTAACATTAAAAAAAATTGAAATCCAGATTCTTTTCCTCTAAACCCTCCCCCACTCACTGAGCAGGCAAGCAATATGATACACATTGTACATGTGAAATCATGCAAAACATATTTCCCTTGCCCTGTCTCAAAAAAAGCAAGAAAAGTAAAGTGAGAAGATTATACTTCAGTTTGCACTCTGACCTCATCAGTTCTCTCTTTGGAGTTGGATAGCAATTTTTATCATAAGTCCTTTGGAATTGTCTTGGATCATTGTATTGATCAGATTAGCTAGATTTTTCAGAGTTGATCATGATTACAATATTGCTGTTTCTCTGTACGATGATTTCTTGCTTCTGTTTACTTCCCTTTGCATCAGTTCATATAGGTCTAAATTTTTCTGAAACTGTCCCCCTCATCATTTCTTATAGCACAATAATGTTCCATTACAATCATACACCACAACTTGTTCAGCCATTCCCTAGTTAATGGGCAAATCCTCCATTTCCAATTCTTACTGACCACAAAAAAAAACCTATTATAAATATTTTTGTGAATATGGATCCTTTTTCTTTTTCTTTGATCTCTTTGGGATACAGACTTGGTGGTGGTATTGCTGGGTCAAATGATAATGTAGTGTTTTAGTAGAGTTCCAAATTATTTTTCAGTATAGTTGGACAAGTTCAGAACTCCATCAAGAATTCATTAGTTTCTTAATTTTGCTGAATCTGCTCCCACATTTGTCATTTCTGTTAGTGAGGTGGTATCTCAAAATTATTTTAACTTGCATTTCTCTAATCAGTAGTGATTTAGAACCTTTTTTCATATGATTAGATAAATTTGCTATCTTCCTCTGAAAACTGCCTGTTCATAGTCCTCGATCATTTGTCAATTGCGGAATGGCTCTTATTTTTTAAAAATTTGACTCAATTCCCTATAAATTTAAGAAATAAGGTCTTTATTTGAGAAACTAACTATAAAATATTTGATATTACTTTATTATCTGTACCAGGGTAGGGAACCTGCAGGCTCCAGAGTGTGGCATTTTAACTGCGTCCAAGTTTTACAGAACAAATCATTTTGTTAAAAAGATTTGTTCTATGAAGTTTAGATTCAGTCAAAGGGCTGCACTTAAGGACCTAGAGGGCCACATGTGGCCTTGAGGCCACAGGTTTCCCACCCTGATATACTTCTATTGTCTATATGTTGTTGTTTGTCCTTTGTTCTCAAAGACGATCATGACAACAGGGAAGTGATGCCATGACATACAAGTGAATTGGATTTAAGTGAAGGAGGGCTGTGGAAAGTCACTGGCCTCACTTTCTTCTCCGGAGCCATCTGGGTCCAGTGGCCAGATATAGATCAGAACAACTGGAGATGTCACCATATGCAGTGGAGGACCTTGGCCTTTTCAAGCTAAGGTCTTTAACAGGTCTCAGTTTGACTGAGGCAATGCCCATTCAGTGATTAAGG